ATGAGTTAAAGTTTAGAGAATAAAAAGTTGAGAATAAGTACCTTTATTTTGAAAATTTTGGGACTCTGAAGGACTTTGAGACATCCAATTATCATCCCGAAAATCACTTGTGACCTCTTCCTTTATACCACCGACCCGATGATGGGCCTCGTGGTCTTCAGAATTACTTGAATGCTCAACTTTCAACTTAGCTTTTGATTTCACATTTGCTTGTACACCTTGTGTTCTAAGATCAAGAGGCTTGGAGTACGCCACACCAACTGATGAAGCTCCTTTGGTTCTAAGACCAAGAGGAACCTTGGAGTTAGCCACACCAACTGATGAGACTCCTTTGGACTTCTTGATACGGTTTCTGAGTGTTGGCTTGCAACTATTGGTCTGTTAAAAGAAAAAAGGTAAGTTCCAGAACCACAAAGCTGCATAACTTGGCAAGATATCCGTCTATTACGTCCTCAAAGCAATGCACGAGGAAATTTTTAGATACAATAGTATCCCATAAGACATGGAAATAAATTCGAAGAAACTTTATTAGTCCCAAGTCATAGAAAGATTACTGTAAGGCTCATAGAGATCCAGAATCAAATATGGAGAAAGAAAACCCGTTCACCTCAATTTTAGCTGCATTAGAACATTTTGAGTACGAAGGTTCACAGCCAATATTGCTGACATCCTGAAGCACGGCCCTCCTCTTACATGGCCGAGATGATTTAGCAATAGAAGGGCAGCTATTTTCTTCAGAAGCAGCTCTTTTCAAATTAGCTCGTGCAGCCCGCCTCTCTTGTTGATATGCAGGAACTTTTGGAGGCAGCTGCCCTGACGCACTAAATGCAGCAGCTCGAGCACGTGTAATTCTACCAGGAAATTCTCCAATATTTTCCCTGATGAGATTTTCTTCTTTTCTCATATTTGAAGGTCTCAAAGAAGATTAAATCATCCAAATGCATCTGAGTAAAACCTGTGGTAGATGAACAGCTCTCAAGTAGTGATCTTAACACCATAAATTTTCATTTAAACAACAAGGCCTTAAAGATTTGATAGGATACAAGAAACATGGTGAAGCTCCATGGTACAAACACCCTTGAATGTTCAAATTTTGGATTAAAAAACAGTATGGTAGCTGCAAATTTCAAGTGAACTGTTTGATTAAAATAGTGCACGCTTTTCCCATATCGCAGATCTATCAGCAATATTAATCCATAGCCATGATTGAAATTACATTGAGCTTCACCACACAGTTGAAACAAATGCCATTTACAAAGAAATGAGAAAGATAAGCAGAAACAATAGGAATTCAAAGTAAATGTTGCCGGGTTAACCAATCTAAAAGATCAATAGATCCCATATGAGCTTCTAACATCTTGCACTTCTTGAAATGCCAAAAGGTACTAAATCCATTAAACTACCCCTAGTAGCAACTCCACCATGTTCATCAACAATGGAGTGGCCAATCATAAGCTTAGAACATTGAGCAGGTTAAAGGACTGATTGGCATTATTTCAAGAGAATGTGATGAACAAACATGGATTTCCAAGTAGTTTACCAGTAAAAAACAATAAAGAAAAGAAGCATCAAGTAACCAAGGTGCTTGGCCACCAAGAAAGCAGAAGAAAAAGGGGAAACCCAAAGGATCTACAAAATGTGTTGCTCCAAATCCAAGTTTCAATAGTGTAATTGACATTCTTGCATTGCGTCCAAATTACTACAAATGTCCATTTCATTATTGCACAGTCTTTTAAGAAACAATTCAAACCTAAACTCCTCCACTTCTTTCTCCAAAATTTCCACAATCATCAAAACCCCAAATCGCCCAGCTAAAACCCCCACAAATCCCACGATTCCAACACATAAAATCCATCCCAAAATCTTCAAGAACATCAAACTCCACTCCGCCCTAATCCACAATGACGAAACAATCGCGAAAATCAAAAAAGAAGCGGACAAGAAATAAACCTGAATCTATCTTCCAAGCTCCAAGACCTCCATTGGAGCTCGAGATGAAGATCGAAAAGGTTGAATCAAAACAAGAATATCGGAGAGATAAAGGACAGTGTGGTGTGGGTGAGTAAAGTTGGAATGGGAGTGAGCGGGATGAAATCGAAATTTGAAACATAGAGAAGGGCAAAAAAAAATCTGAAAAAAAAAGAAAACGAAAAGATTTCAACAGAACAAAATTAAAAACATAAATAAATAAATAAATAAATAAAAAGGAAAAACAGTTATTAATAATATTATTAAATGAATAATCGTGTCTTAATGGCGTTTGCTGTTTTGACCAAAAAAGTGAAAAGAACACTGCGTGGACTCGAAGCTGTCAGCTCTTCCATTTTTATTATCACCTTACAGTAAGCTCGCGCGTGAGTCCAGATTCTCAATTTTTATTCCTCAAATTTACCTTATTACCCCTTTCTTTCCAACGAACAAAAGGCTACTTTTGTAATGTCAAACTGAGCTCCTATCCTCTGTTTTTCGATATTTTAAATTTTTTATTCAACCTATTCAATTTTGCAACGTAACAGAGACAGATTTTGTTTTGCCTTGTTATTGGATAAGTTTTTTGAGCTTACGTAGATTCGGCCACATGCCATGTTTTTTTTTTTTTTTTTTTTCTTTCTGTGTTTCTTAATTTTAGTTTAATTCCACTAATTTAGGGAAAAATTACTGGTTAATGGTATATGAGGGTAAAATTTTATCTTTTTTCCAATTTTGAAAAAATTACTGATTATTCTCCGTTATTTAAAATAAAAAATATTATAAATAGTTTCCAACTTTATATATATTTTTTTATCTATAGTAAATTTGTATCAATAAATACATTTATATCCTCTCAGATAGGGTGTACATTGAACCTAACAACCCGAACCAACCTAATCCAAACTATAGATTGGATTAGCATTTTGGATAGGATTGAGTTCATTTTTTTAAACTCGAACTGAATCGGTTCGGTTTCGAGTTCGTAAGCACAACCTTCGAATTGACCCGAGCTAAATAAAAATATATAAAGTATATTAACTATTGGTACTGAATTCAGTCTAAGGATATTCTCGCCCAAGTTCTACGCCAAACAAATAAATACATGTTTCTTCTTATTATTTTTATTTAAGATTGTATGTATAAAGGATGGATAAATAAAACTTTTAACAAAAATTGACAACCCAACCCGAAAATAAAGGGTTGGGTTGTGAAAGGTTTTAGGTTGAGTTGGGTTACCGATCCAACCAACCCAACCCAAACTTTTGGTTGGGTTAAAAAAAAATCTCTCAACCCAGACCATATACACCTCTACTCTCAGATAGGACCAGGTTTTGGGTTGAGTTGGGTTACCGATCCAACCAACCCAACCCAAACTTTTGGTTGAGTTAAAAAAAAAATCTCTCAACCCAGACCATGTACACCCTACTCTCTAAGAAAATTTTAAGATATCATTCGGGCTAATCATCTTCTCACTTTGAGACTAAAAATGATATTGTTGTTTTACTTGTTAGGAATCACGACTCTCCACAATTATATGATATTGTCCACTTTGAGCACAAGTGCTCAGATATTTGCTTTGGGCTTCCACAAAATACCTCAGATCAATGAAGATAGTATTCATTTATTATAAACCTATGATCATTCTCTAAATTAGTCGATGTGGGACTTTCATCATCCAATACCTCCCCTCGAACAAAGTACGTCTCCCCTTAATCGAGGCTCGACTCATTTTTCTTTTGAAGTCCTTCGTTCGACATTTGAGAAATTAACCAATCTATTGACACGACTAAGTTTAGGGCATGACTCTGATATCAGGTTAGAAATCACGACTCTCCACAATAGCATGATATTGTCTACTTTGAACATAAGCTCTCATGGCTTTGCTTTGGGCATCCCAAAAGGTCTAAGGCCAATGGAGAGTCATGTTAAATATGAGCTTAATAATTATAAATATGTTTTGCTTTTTTATTATTTTATTATAATTTATTTTTTATTTTCTTTAATTAATTTAAAAGAAATGAACCATAAATGCATTTGGATATGGAACCCTCTAATATCCACCGCATAACACCCTCGTACAATTTATGGCACTCAGCTTCCCTCATTTATATTTATCTGTATAAAAAAGTAATAATAACCACACAAAAAAAAAACAAATAAACGATATCCTCCCTAAGTTCGTTGTCATTGATGAATTCCGTAATCACTTTATCACGTGTATTTATACGAATGATGATATCATCATACGAGCATTATGCAACGACTCGAGAAATATAGAAGACTTTGAAATGAGTAAAAACCATAACACAAAGAGTAAGTTCGAACCTTCGATGACAATAGTTATATCACTGATGATAAGAACTATTAGCAAATTCACGATGAAAGAAGTCAGATGAACAAGAACGAGTCGAAATTAGGATATGATCGAATTGTATAAAAAAAACAAACAAGATTATACATTTGAACTAAAATAGAAATAAATGCAAATATTTAGAAATTTATTATAAAAAATTTAAAATTTAAGAATTCATGAAATTTAGTATTATATATAAGTCTTTGATACTTACGAGTTAGTTGAGAGTTTGAATTAGAAAATTTCGAATTAATTGGATTGATGACCCGAGTCACCTAAATAGAGTTCACAATTTATCCATCTCAACCTTCTATTTTCGGGTTGAGGTAGATTGTCTAGATTGATTTTTTAAATATTTAAAAAAATTATACTCATTGTACTAAATTTTAAATATTAAATATTTACCAGTCATACGGATGTTAAATATTTTAAACTTTTAAAAATAGAGAGTTGAGTTATAACTTTATTTTTGAAAAAACATCCGCTCGTAAATTGAATTGAATTTTTTGTTTTAAAAAAATTTAACTCACCCGAACCTAACTCCGACGTTTATAAAACAATGTATAAATAATTTAAAACGAGAAATGGCTTGCATTTTAAAATAAAATAAATATAATAAACAAAAAATAATCTGGTGTAAGGAACCGACGCAGAGTTTCGTTGAATATGATCTTCGTCTTTTAAAAAAAACAAAAAAAAAAGAGAGAGAAAATTGAATCTTCCACAGAGAACGAAATAGAATTGTCATCTCAAATTCTCAATTCATATCCGCACAGCTTTCATCTCTCTCTCTCCTTCCGACCTTCCTTCATTTCTGGCGCGTAAAAGCCGGCCAGGAACCAGAACCATGAAGATTCGGAGATGATAATCGATTACGAATCTCTCACAGTGAGCGATAGATAAGAATGGCAACTCAGCTGCTATCTCAGACTTCAATTTTTTCCTCTGTTTTCTGTAGCAATAGTAATGGTGTTGGTTTTTATAAATTCCGCTCTTCCCCTCACATCCATCATGTCTCTGTTTCTTCTTCTTCTTCATTTGCGATGGGTAAAACCAATCAGTCCATTTCTAGACTCTGTTATTTGGCGGCCGATTTGGTGAAATCAGGTATTTTCTTCTCACGACTTAGTTTTGATGGAATACTATTGGTGATTATCAGGTTTTGTCTATTTGGTTCAGTCATATCCTCTGTTTGGCATCTTGGAATGGTTTCTGATGATGGTGAGGAGTAATTGGTTAGTTGTCGAATGTTAGGATGGTTATGAAATGTTCTTCGATTTTGAATGCTGTGCTACTTTTAGGAAGGTTTTTTTTATGCGTTTGGCTGTGCAATATTCTCTGTTAATACGGAGGGAAATTGTTGCGACATATTCTTGGGAATTTGGTTTCACGATGCAAGAATGAAACGTTGTTTTTATTTTTCTGCAATATCATTTGGTTCTAGAAATGGATTCTGTTCATTCTTGTTGTTTGGATGTTTTTGGTTTCTAACGTATTGAGTAATCCCTTTTTCCTTTTATCTTTGTACTCATCAAACTTCGTTATACCTTCATCATAGAGATATGACAATCTCTCTAGATTGCGCATTCTTTTTAGATCGTTCTGTTCATGCTTGGAAAGTTGTTCCCTTCCGTTTAAGGGACATTCTTATATGAGACTATGATAAGTAAAAGCATCATAAATTGTAACAGCTCAAGCCCACCGCTAGGAGATATTATTTGCTTTGACCTGTTACGTATTGCCGTCAGCCTCACGGTTTTAAAACGCGTATGATAGGAAGAGGTTTCCACACCTTTATAAAGAATGTTTTATTCTCCTCCCCAACCAACATGGAATTTCATATAAATAGTTTGTAATTTGTAGTGAAGTCAGAGAGAGCTAATTCTTGTTTTTTATGAATGGACTTTTCAATATTTGTAGTGAAGCTTCTATTTGTAGTTTCAGAAAGCTGAAGTTCTATTGTTTGATGGCCAATGCTGTTCTACCATATCTTGTATAGTATGCTGCGTTCTTAATCATTGATCTCTTCCTTTTACTCTAGGCAATGGATGTTCATGGATTCAAGATAACTCCTCGGGTCGCAGTGTTGCTGCCTCCGACGAGTGTTATCAAGGCACCGTTTGTTATGCATTACCCATGAAACCAGCACAAGTTTCCACTGTGGAGGATCTTTTTGAATTCATATGCTCAGGTCCCTTGATAGAAAAGTTGGGTATGAGCCCTCAAAATGTAGCTGATGCCATAGATAAATGGCTGGCTTATGGTTCTTATCTTTGTCGATTGTTCAAGGTTAATGAAATGGAGCTCACCATTCCCCAGAAAGCAAGATTTTACCATTACTACATACCTGTGTTTTTTTGGTGTGAGGATCAAATATCTCAACACCATTCCTCATTTAAAGAAGAAGAAGAAATACCTCCCTTAGTGGTAAGCTTTATTCTCATTGCAAACCTGCTTATACTAATTATTTGACGTTCTTCCGCTTAAGGAATTTAGATGTTTCGCACGAGGCTAAGCTTTCACGGACTCGAGGCCTATTAATCACGCTGGCTATTACTATCAGAGCTAAATTTTCTTTTATTCCTCTGATTACTTGTCTTCAAACCACTTATTGGTGCTTGTGTAGATAGGATTTAGTGCTCCGCAAGGTTGTGGCAAGACGACGCTCGTGTATGCTCTCAATTATCTTTTTGAAGTAACAGGCAGGTAGGCTGCGATGCTCGTAAATAACCATAAAGAGAGCTGAGTATCTGCTGAAGCAGTGACTGAATTTCTGACTGAAGTTCTATCTCAGGAAGTCTGCTATGTTATCCATTGATGACTTCTATCTCACAGCTGAAGGGCAGGTTGGTTAGCCATCTATGATGTTTTTAGCATTCCCTTTCCCTTTGCAGAACTATTAATCAATTAAGTGTGACATGGTAGACCCAACTGAGGGAAAGCAATGCCGGAAATGCACTTCTGGAGGTAACTTTTTTCGGTCTCGTCCTCTTATATTCCTTCCGTTAGTTATAACTTCGTCAATTTTTAGTTTCGTGGAAATGCTGGAAGTCACGATCTTGAACTGTCGGTTGAAACACTCACAGCTCTATACAAGATGACCAAGGAAGGTCAGCATCTCCTTCACTTCTTTTGCTTCTGTTTCCCTTATTTTGTTTGTTTACTAATTTAGTTCTCTTTTAAGATGAAGGTTTAAAGATGAAGATTCCCAGATATGATAAAGTAAGTGCAAATAGCCATCCTCTTGGTTTGCTTCTATATAATTCCGGCCACTTTGTGATTCTCAGCCCCCCATGTCCTCTGTTTAAACCAGTCTGCATTCAGTGGAAGAGGTGACAGGGCTGATCCTTCTACTTGGCCAGAGGTTGAAGGACCACTAACAGTAAGATATTTAATTTAACAAAGAAGGAACTTAAACTTTATTGCACCTAGCTCCATAAACTTTGATTTGGTTACCTTTAGGTTGTCTTGTTTGAAGGCTGGATGCTTGGCTTCAAACCGCTCTCGACAGAAGCTGTCACAGCAGTTGATCCACAGGTTATACCCTTTTCAACTTTCCAGAACTTAATTTTCAAGTTTGCCTTTCATTTGTCAACGTGAGATCACACATCAGTTGAGTAGCGAAACATTGTTTATAAGAATGTGGAAACCTCTCCCTACCAGCTAGCAGTAAACTTGAGCTGTTACAAATGGTATCAGAGTCAGACACCGGGCGACGTGCCAATGAGGACACTGGCTCCCAAGGGGGTGGATTGTGAGATCCCACGTCGGTTGGAGAGAAGAACAAAACATTGCTTATATAAGGGTGTGAAAACGTCTCCCTACCAATCGTATTTTAAAACCTTGAGGGAAAACCCAAAGAGAACAATATCTACTAGTGGTGGCTTGGGCTATTACAGTCGATCTATCATTAACATCTTTTTCTATTTCAACCCGTCTATTTTATACTATACCATTGTATCTCTTCAAACTCATAAGGTAACAAAGGAAAACAAAACATGAGAAAATCTCTCTCAAATGAACATTCAAATTTGACAGCTTGAGACAGTGAACAACAGCATGAAAGCGTACTACAACGCTTGGGATAAGTACATAAAGGCGTGGATCGTGATCAAGATAAACGACCCCAGTTGTGTTTACAATTGGCGGCTGCAGGTAAGCTTTGTTAACACATTATTACCATACAACCAACTGGGTTTCAGCAACCTTAAGAACTGCATATTGTTATGAATTTGCAGGCAGAGATTGCAATGAGAGAGGCAGGAAAACCCGGGATGAGCGACGAAGAGGTACTCCGAAACGAAACATCAAAGTTGCAATAGTAAGATGGTAATGAAGTAGTTGATTGTATGGATGAAGAAGTTGTGGTGGTGGTGGTTTTCAGGTTAGAGATTTTGTTTCACGTTATCTGCCGGCGTACAGGGCTTATCTTCCCACGTTATACTCGGAAGGGCCAAGTGGGTCAGATCCAAAGAGGCTGCTTGTGGTTGAAATCGATGAAGAAAGGAATCCAATTCTTGGTTATTAGGTGGGTTTCTCAGCTTTCACATGCTCTTTTGACTGCCTTTTTACACCCCTATGTGGATACCACCTACCTACTACTTCCACACAGGTAATAGCTCTTACTCTTGGATTGTTCGAAAAATTACAAATTTAGTCTCAAATTTAAATTTTATTAATGCCTAATAAAAGTTTAACTGATTATTATGTTTTTTTAAAAATTTATTAGGGACTTTGAGGGAAAGTTGAAAAATTCTAAATTTTTCAAAAGTGTGTAACTTGGGCTTCAAGTCTACGAGTAGAGGTTAATATGGGCTTATCAATCCAATAGATAAAAGTTTGGGCTTAGGCCCAATGTAGTGGATTTGTTTGGATAATTGGCTAATATTAGTTTTATATGAACTAAGAAAAAAAAAAAAAAATAGAAATTAATAATTAAAATTACATCACTTTTAAATATCAAATATTCACAAGTTACAGTTTATCAGTCTGTAATCTTCTTGAAAGTATGAAACTATTTTTGGATTAGTTGGGTTGACGAAACCAAAAAAATGTCAACAAGTAAATTGACCTGAATTTTTTGGTTTTTAAAAATTTTAACCCAGCTCAAACCAAAAAAAAAATGTAATCCAACCCATTGTTTATGGTTTGAGTGAGTTGGGTAGTGTGGGTTGGTCGAATTAACGGGTCATATGTGGAGGGTAATTGAAAATGAGTATCAAAATAAAATTAAATAAAATAACTTATATATTACTATAATCTAATTATATAAAATGTCCCTCCTAAAATAGCATCGCACACTTACAATTAATAAAGAGGTCCTATAATAATTATAGGAATTACTTTTATGTCTATTTTTTTAACAAAATAAAGTCATAACAATTAACCAAAAGATTAAAAATATAAAAATTAATGAAAATATGCCTTCATTTTTAGAGGACGTCTTCCTCTTCTTTCCATTTTCTTCTGCTCAATGCTCATAGATCTTTAAATTGCAGGCCGAACCCTTTGGCCTCGGATCTCTTCATTATCCTTAGCCTCTTGCACGATTCAATAAACATCCTGAAAAATTAATAATATTATTAGTTTTTTTAATTATAATCACAATTGTAATTAGGGAATAATTCTTTTCAAATATAAAATTGGATTATTATGATTTTAAATAAATGGGATGTGTCGGGCAGGGGGCAAGGAGAAATGAAGTGAGGGACAACTTTGTAATCTGGCTGACATTATTATTAAGGTTTGGTTCGTGTCGGCATCATGTTGCCCGCGTTAATGAATGGAATGGGAGATCTGAAAAGACCATTTTGCCCATCCCCTACCTCTCTTCATAATGAAGTGTATCAATCAATCAAATTTAACATATTTATAAATATATATAATATAATCTCCATGTCCACAAAATTCTTCATTTATTTTTTTTATATACTAATTTTTTTAAAAAAATATATTTATTTTAAAGAGTATTTAATGGATAATTTGTATTTTTCATGTATTAACAAAAATGTAAAACAATAGTATTTTATAAGCAAAAATGTAATATAATATTCAATGTAATTTTTAAAAATTAGGGATGACAACGCAAGAATTTGGGTAGGATTGAAGTGGAGTAGGAAATATAATATTGATTTAAAATTTTACCCTACATTATTTATTAAACTAAAAAAATAAATATTAATTTTAGTAAAAAAAAAAAAAAAATTAAATTTAGAGATTAAAAAGATAAAAAGTAAACTTACTCCCACGGGACATCTCCAACAAGCATCCAGTCTCCATCTTTGTCCTCGTAAATGGGAACGTAATCAGAACTTTCTCCATGCTTTGATGTCTTCCCTGTCATTTTACAAATATGCCCATACTCTTATTTATATATTTTTCTAGGATGAAATAACTTTTAATTACCATGCAATATTAACTTATTAAGTTACTCTACAAATGGTAAAAAACGTGTCTAAAAGAGGAAGAAAATAGAGCGTTAAATTAATTTACCGGTTCCAAAGCAAGCAAAGAGCTTCTCAAGAGCAAGGGCAAGATCCGAGTAACCTTGATGAGAACCCAAATCAAGTTTACGTAGAAATGGAGCTCCATCCATACTAATCTTTACGTACATTTTCAAATTCTCACTCTTAAGCAACGACTCTTTCTCTCCAAAGCTATTCTTTTTTCGATAAGAACACACAGGTGGCCACCCCACAACCTGTCCCTTACTCGTCGTGTTATTCTTTCGGCCAACACTGTCTCTAGTTGGCTCATCTTCATCGATGATATCTGCATAGGCTCGTTTCTTCTCGTTTTTGTTGTTGTTGCCAGGGAGACCTAGGCGAAGCTCGGTGATCTCGAGTCCGAGGGATTCGTTTGCCATTTGATGGAAGAATGGGTGTTTTTTTTTTTTGTTTAGAATGGGAAAATGAAAAGGGAAAAGGGATATATAGAAGAGGGAAGTGGGGAACAATGACAGGTCAACTAAGGAGACGAGGAACAAAGGTGGGGTCTTGGTGCTCCCTAAGACACCGTTAAGGACCGGCATAATAAGTTGGATGCAGGATTTATGTTTAGGGTTTTTATTTTATTTTATTTTATTTTATATAAAATATTCAAAAATTTCGTAACGCGTTTTATTTAGTCCCTCGACAACTTTCAAAATTACAAATTTAATCTACAATTTATTTACTTTATTAAAATTTATGAATATGCTAAATATAAAATAAAAAATTTAGGAATGGGTAAAATTCAGACGTAAAAACACAATTAATACTTCAAAATTTTCTTACAAGAATTGTCACAATCGCACTTTTGATGACAGCAAACTTGCGATTGTGCGGCACTCACTTTCTAGCAACAAGTGAGTTAAGCCAATTCGTTCTTGCGTCGCCTACGGCCAAACGACGTACGCTCGAGCCTCTGGACCCGGTTCAAGAAGAAAGTTTTAGAAACTGGGGACAGAGAGATTTTGAAAGAGAGTTTTGAAAGCAAGATTTGAGAGATTGAAATTGGTGTTATATATGATGCAAGTAAAAAGACGACATTTAAAAATTTCAAAATAATTCAAAATTTTTATTAAATATTTTTCCATAAATACAAATACAATACAAAAATAAACTTAAAATTTAACCAAAATTATATAAGAAATAAAAATTTAAAATTTAATTTCTCTAAAAAATTCTAGTTTATTTTTCGGATAAAATAATTTTGTCAATTTTTTTAATCATGGTTTTCACTTTAAAAATAATTTTTATGCTATTAAAAATAATTAAACCAAACAACCAAAATTAGATTTAATTTAATTTAATTTAATTTTACTCCAAAAATAATAATAATTATTATTATTTTTGATATAAAGTAATTGAAGAACATTTCATGAGTACATACCAATAGACAATGATCACATGGAGCTATACTTTTGGAAATAAGTATGAAGCATGTGCATCCATCCCACATCTTTAATTTGATAAATAAATAAATAAGAAAAGAAAATAATTAAAATATAAATAATAATCATCATTATATCTTTTAATCTATACTACGCGATGTTAATTATTTAATTATTGTAACAAAATCAATGATATACACAATATTTGTAGAAAAATAACTAAACGTAATTTAATTAAGCACAACGATCTTGTTGGGACCTAAAGATTTGACCTGATAATCGACCTTGTAATGGAGCAACTCGGAGAGGAAGCCTATAGAAGCGATCAGCTCAAAACCCATCTCATATTCTATATGAATTAGTTGATTTCAATTAGACCGGTGACCCTGGGAGGAACGTGCCCATGAGGGTATGAGCTAAAACTTACCGACAAACAAATGTTTAGTTTTTATTCGTTGGATTCCGAGTTATTGTGGACATTTGGATTCATGATGATGGAAAGAAAATCAAATGGGTGTGCCAAAATATTCATGACACTAATTATGTCTCCAATCAAATCATATAATAAAAGTTAAAGGTTTATATTAATAAATATTTGTATTATTAGCTAAATTCTTATACATATATATTTGTTTTATTTATGATTTATATATTAATTATTCCTATATATATATATTTTTAATATGTCTTGGAACACATCTTCGAATGCACGATTCTTATAGAGGCGCTTTCACATCTTCTTAACCCGAAATGACCAATAATTAGGGAGAGGAAAGGTTTTTTTTTTTAGGGTACCCTGAAAATAGATCCCGTGAACGAAAATGTAGCTAATTATGGTTAGTATGGTAGCATTTTTAAATAGACGGTCCGATAAGGTAAGTCATGTGGAGTTGTTAAAGGCTACAAATTTGATAGGTGAATAATGTATCTAACTCATTTACATAAAACTATAAGATACTCTCTTTGATACATATATTGATTGTGTTTTTGCATATCCAAAATATTTGGGATATGTAATAAATCTCGGTTGAGTTTGAAAATTTTTGGACCAATAAGAAAATTCGGGAGGATCGAGTTGGTCGGGTTGACTGGTTGAAAGAATTAAATAGGGTTTAAAACCTAATCCAACTCTCTATTTTTTAGTTGGGTTGAGTTGGGTCACCAATCGTTCAATTTTTTAAATTTTTTTAAGAACTACTTATCTTCCCTTCATTCAGTTCACGTTAATAATTAAAAGCTAAATTAATAATAATAAAAAAATAACTACTTAAAAAAAAAAAAAATCATTAATACCCTTGAATGGTTAATGGAAACCGTTATTATTTTGTTTCAAAAATACCTTTTAACTTGTATAAAGTTTTTAATGTTAGTTTTGGAGAGTTTAAGGTTTTTTTTCTTCTTTAAAATTAATTTAGCCTAATTAGAATTTTATAAAGCTCAAATATCAAACATCTACGACACACAATACATCAGTAACATCTATTATAAACGTCAAATAGTCTTAATCTTTATAACATTCTTCGAAGTTGGGTTGAGAGAAATTTTTAGACCAATCTAAAATTCCAAGTTGGTCAGGTAAAACCGACAAAAAAAAATTTGAGTCTGCAAACTGAACTGAATTTTCAATTCTCTAAAAATTCAACCTAACCCAAACCGAAAAAGAAAAACCTAACAGCTTAGATTGTATAGATTATTCGAATATTCAGAATCCTACCTTTACAAAATATTCTTTAGAATTAATATTTCATATTTTAAGAACAATATATTTGAATTTTAAATCTAAATGA